ATAGAGAAAACTGAAGTTCTTTGAATAATTCAAAAACAAAGCTCAGTCTACCATGACTTTTGTAGAGCAGAAGCAAATAAACATGGTTGAGTTGTATTACCAACGATCAGGCAGGCTATAAGATCAATCTAATTGGATGCGAGTGGTCAAGATCAAGGCTGTAATTAATTTTTCATTGTTTACTTTTTGAACTTTTCGGATCAGTTCTATTTCTGGCATGTGCTCTGCTGACTCTAGGAGACATCTTATGTTTCGTTAGCCCTGTCTTGGTTACACTTCTGCCAATACCAAGCTGCGATCTCTGGCTAAGTCTCAACTCCTTCCTCCACTTACTACAGATACCAGGATACTATTGCTCAATCTTTTCTCCATTCTCTTTCTTAATCATTTTTAGTGGAGTACATTTTTGCCTTCTGGGTATTAGTTACCATGTTGGACAACATAACAAAATTCTGATTTACCATGTGTCTTCCATCTTATCGTTTGTATGATGACCATTAAGCCACAGTGATGAATTTTGTTCTTTTTTACAGATCTTTATGGAAAGTTCATTTCTCTACTTACATTCTAGTCTGAGTATACACAGTCTTTAAAACGATTTAATCCCAGCACTCAGGAGGCTGAGGGAGGAGGATGGGTGACTTTGAGCCTAACATACAAGGTAAGTTCAAGGCCAGCCCAAACTGCAGAGTGAAACCCTGACTTAAAAAAGACAAAGCAAAACACAAATCCATTAAAAATTCGCAATGTCTTAAAAAATTTAAAACTTGCATTAATCTGACATTATATCTGACATTTCCCACAGTTTGACATTCCTTTTCCTCTCTGCACTCAATTTTGTCAGAATGTTGCAGTTTGCCAAAGAAAGGGATGGAGGATACACGAAACTACAGGCCTACTATCACTTTCCATTATTTTGAAGATAAATTTGTTCACGTATTTTTATTCATACCAGACTAGCAATAACTGCCTTTAAGTCTGTTGGGGGAAAATGTTTCACGTCTTTAAACTGAGGGGATTATTAAAGGGTTTAGCCTAAGAAGCCATGTAAATTCTAATTTTTCTCTTCCTTACATAGGGGAGGGTCAGCTAAGAGAGTTTTAAGAAGCAAACTAAAATATTCTTCATGGTTAGCCAAAAACATTACAAAAATAATTTTCATTTTAGTTGCTGGAGAAAACAAAACTAAAGAAAGCCACCTAAAAGAGCTGGTATATCAGTCAGGAAAAAATACAGTGGATTTTAGCTGTGGATTGATGAGCTATCTGAAGGCACTATTTAAAGGTTTGGGCAGGGATATGAGACTCTCCAGGAAACTGTAGAATCATGTTCACCAGATGTATGAAAAATGTACTGTCATCCTCACAATGAAAAAGCATCTATGAATTTTGCAGTCTGACTGACAAGAGATCCAGCGCCACCCTCACCACTCCATATGGGTGGGACCTTCAACAATGTAAAAAAAAACCTATCTGCATTTCAGTTTTTTTATCTGTAAAATGGAAGATGATAATATCTCACAGAACTCTTGAGAGAGGCAGGTAAGAAAATATAATTGTTACCTTAACACCCAACAATGTAAAACAATAAATATTGATTACGATCCTTTATATTTTTTCCAGTAGAAGCACTAAGACGTTGGTCATAAAAAACTGTTTATATTTCCACTAAGTTTCGCTGTAATAGAGCAACCCCTTCCCCAAAGAAAGCTGAAACCAAAGTTTATTTCTTTTTCACATAAAATCCAGAGCCACACGGGCCAGCTTCGATTTGGCTGCTCTGATCTAAGAACCCCACATACATTTTTTACCTCTTTGTGCTGCTATCCTGCCTGAGGGGCTATTCTCTTACCGTCCAAGATACTGGTTGCTACATTCTTGTTACAAGAGATGGAATAAAAAAAACGCTGAAGAACTGGCGAGAGGATACCAACAGCATTCTCTTCTGGAAGGTTCTTGAAAGCTTATTTTCTATTGGTCAGAATGTTAAGAGGCCACATCAAGTTGCAAGGGAGGCTGGGAGATGTAGTCTTTATTTTTAAGGAGGAAAGAAAATACACGAACGATCTTAGTAACAAAATTCTATGTAGAGAAATGCAGCCGGGCGGGCAGTGGGGGTGTATATGTGTAATCACAACTACTCTGAAGGGTGAGGCAGGAAGATGACAAGTTGAAAGCTAACCCTGGCCACCCTGTCTCAAAAATAAAAAAAGGTCTGGAGGTGTAGCTCAGCAGTGGAGCCACGTGGGTTCAATCCCTTATACCAGCACCAAAAACCCAAAAATGGAGATAAGTGCAAAAATTGTGAATTTAGACTTTCATCAGATTGATATAGTCTATTACAATGTAAATCTAGTGTCTAATGATACTTAAATAACAAGGCTAGTTTCTATAGTTTTTCTTCTATTGGATATTCTGAATTCAAGACAGGATGGAAATATGATAGTAGCTTTTCGCAAGGATTAAGAGTTGTATTCAAATTTAATAAAAATTTTTTTTTGTCTTGTCTGCATAGCACGTTTTAAAAAATAGAAAATGAGATAATCTTTCACCGGTAAGATTTTGTAACTCAGCCTCTGAAATTATTTATCGTTTCACTAAAAGGGCCCACATTATACTCAACTTCCATCACCTTTACATTTTCCTATCTGGCTGTCCCAACATCCCCCAGGGACTCCTTTCTCAGTTTCTACCATCCCAAGCTCCTGATCTTTGCTGCCCTGAAATTAACACGTAAATTACCAGTTTGCCAAACAACTGGATGAATAAAACCCCTCAACCAGTTGACTACATAAACATATCTCTTGAAAGTATGTGTAACTTTTTTAAAAGACTGCATACAGGGCTGGGGAGATGGCTCAGTAGAATAAGCGCTGCCCTGGTAAGCACAAGGGTCTGAGTTCAAGGGCAGACCAAATAGCTCAGCTGAGTCAAGCGCCCGCTTAAACAGATGCACCGGCTGGGGGTGCTGTGCCGCGCGGTCCCCAGGGCTCGCGGAGACTGCGTGCGTGTGGCGGCGCACGCCTGTAATCCCACCTCTTGGGAGGCTGTAAACAGGAGGATCACTGCAAGCCTGATCTACGCAGTGAGACCCTGTAGACCCTGTCCTTAAAAAAATGCAACTAGTTCAAGCACAATGGCGGATGTAACTATGACTCTTTGGTGCCAACAGGGCTCTTAACATCCTTCAAATCCATTCCATCCACCAGCAATGGTGTATGTAACTGCTTTAAAAAAAAGTTGACGATGGCTTATTTACTTAAGACTGTCTTTTATTAGAGGTGGCAGCACACTGTCTTATTCGCCTCAGCTAATGCTCGTAACGTAAGAGATTAACGCATAGCAAGAACTCCCCAAACGACACGCGGCCTGGGTCCTCTGCCCGGGAACTTTCGCCCTCGGGAACGCAGTCAAGGCCTCGACCGTCCAGTCCTGGGGTCCTCAGAGGACGCAGACCCGGAGCGGCCGCGACAGGAGACTCCAGGGGAGACGAGCCGAGCGCAGAGCGCGCGCGAGGCAAGCGGAGCGACGCGCGGGCGGAGGCGGCAAGGCCTCTGCCTCCCACAGGCCACGGGCGGCCGACCCTGTCTGCTCCGGACCCGCGTCCTCGGCGACCCGGCGCGACCCGGCCGCCTCCCTTCCGCCCCACTCC